AAAACTGCAGAGTCATAAGATGTTTTTGGTTGATTTCGACCAGCTCGCCATCTGGTCTTGTCATTAACCTTTATCAGTATATGTCATGGCAACCACTGTCAAACTGACTGAAATATAAATCATGATATTTGCTTTCTTAATTGTAAATAGACTATAATTTCTTTCAAAGCTCAATTCTAAGTTGTAAAAATAAAACCCGATTTTAGACAACTTTATCAGTTTTATGTAATTTAAATAATGTTTGAATAACCATAGACTATGTAATAGTGTGTATGTTCCCAATGCATATTTTTGTCCCCAGGGGTTGCAGTCACGGTACGGCGAACCATCAAATATCAAATATGCTTCATTGACTGTGTTGTCAGCAACCCAATTGGGACAAAGATCGCCATGGAATGTGTACCACGTATACTTTTTGATATAAAACACTTTTTGTTTTGGCCATTTTTGTCGCGTTCAAGTTTGGTTTCGAGGTTTGTAATATGCGCAATGTTATGTGTTGAAAACAAATTCAGATAAAAAAATACTCCATGTATAATGTGACAAAGATGTAAAAACTAGTCACTGGAACGTTGAGTTGGACCTGACCAAGATGCTTTGCAGTGGTGGCAACGTTGATGCATCTCGTAAATTTCCGAATGGGTAGATTAAAGGCAATGCCTCTCATGTTGCAAAAACTGAAAACACACTTTTATAGATTGCGGTCACAATACTAAGAAGAACATTGCATGACTGAAATATTAAAAATTAATGACAATTTATGTGAATTATAATCGTCATATCTAACTTATAAATCATTGTATGGCTGCAGCCCCCGCCCAGGCATTAAACGTCATGTTGCTATATTGTGAGATACCATTAAACATTCAGTCGACTTATAACGTTATTCTTATCACACGAATATATGAATTTGTTTGATTATGTTCATCGTAACCTTCAACCGTAAATTGGCGAGTCCCATACCGAGACAGTAGAATCGGCCATTGCATTATTATAATAGTAGTCTTAACTAACTTCAGTACTATCTTTCGTGTTATAATAAACGATTTATTTGTAGCGGCAGATGAATGCTTAAATCTTGCAAAACAAGATAGGTAAATGATATTATTATGGGGGGATTGGTAGTTGTGTTGTAACTACTGTAACTATGGTGAAAAAACAATAAACGGTCTGTCAAATTGGATTGACCAAAACAATTCGAGAATTTGCCATATTATTATCACTCTAGTACTCGTAGTCGAAAAATGTACACGATGTAAGAGAGTGGATGGGAAAAAAGTATTGAACATGTTCCGGGACTCCTGTTTGACCGACACAAAAATCTCGAACGTGCTGTTAAAATTGGGAGGAGTAACTTAACTACACTTCACATGGTTTCCCTGGGATCACAGTTCACTTGAGAACAATGTCGGTGATTAAGAGACAATAGCTGTGTCCACTCTGTTGTGGTTACTGCTTACCGTTGCCCAGTAAATAAACACTGAAGTAAAAATTATCGATCAAACGCTACGTGCTTTACCAAATACAATTTAATTTATAATATTCATAATAAAAATGTTGCCATATTTACTGTACGTATTATTTGTGCTATTTTTCCTGTTAATTAACATGACAGTGTAAAATGACATTGTGAAGTGTACTTGTGTGTATATATATATAAAATGGATACATCAAGTGTGTTGCCGTGTACGTGTCATGTCTGTAATACCGAGTATAATCGACAAACACCTTCACAACTAGCGCCAATTGTTATACACTTGCACAAACAGGACAGAAACAACCAATGGAGTCAATCATGAATATCACGTGGTTTACTCAGACAATCTACGCGCATGCGTCGATAGTCGTTGTTATGACAGCAGAAAGGCGACCGAACTCATTACATGCCAAGTTGTAGCGTTTCATTACTGTCGGCAGCACTCGTCCAAGGAACATTCTGTTTATTTTTTGCTTAGAATTTGTCAGTAATTGTGAAATATGGGTTGCGGTGGATCCAAAGCAGATACTGCGTCCGGTAAGTGTTCTCTCGTGATCATAATGTTATGATTTTCACAACTTTTTTCAAAACCAAATAATCAGCTGCCTGTTCGCGCTTCGCCATTTTATCGGTTGGTACCATACCTACGTGATCACAATGTGGACTTGATTTTATGTCATATCATTGATGTAACGAAGTCGTACCATTTCGATTCACACATTTTCAAGCGATTAAACGTCTTATTATGCAACCAACATGTGAATAATACAATGTCTTTATTCTCTTTTGAATTGCAGAGCTTGCAAAGTAAGTATACAACGACAGTTTGTGATACTGTAATATTTACAAGTTTAGTGTCTGGACCAATCTTCGAGCCACGATGATCCAGAGTCCGGTCATATTTAAGGTTTTAATATTTTGTCATCATTGAGTAATGATCGATATATGTAGAATTGAATCTTCATGTGTACATGTACAAGGAAGAAATGATAACAATCGTTTATAAAGCTTTTGGCAGGTTCAAAATGCGGTCCAGTAAAGCAGTTGCTTCCGCGGATACAGTAACATCATGGTGTTTTGGGGTAACCTTGACTTCCCCCACGATTCCATTTACGATGAAATACTATCACTTTCGTGGATTTTGTTTAATATTTTACCAGTCATGTGTACTGTATAATGCCCCCTTCCCCCAAGAGTTAAAACAAATGTTTGTTGTGCCTGAATTCTGTCTACATCGAGTCATAGTCCCTCAATGAGGCTTTTATCTGCAGGTATTTTACCTGCAGATAAAAGCTTTGTCATTGGGGAGGATGTAACAACTCATGTCTGTTGTGAGATCCTAACCAGTATTGACAATGACTGTTGAACTTGTAGTGACTTGTACTATTGTCATTTGTTGTATTGTAGTAATGAACTACAATACAACTAGTACAGTAGTGTCCATGAATTGTGTTCATTTAAAGTGCCTGTGAAATGGCTGCTATTTTCACGCCTAAAATTATCAATTGATAAATAAATATTATTAATTTTAAGTTTCTAAGCATGAATTATTTTTTTTAAGTGAAAAAATGTGTTTTAAACTCAGTCTACGGCAACTTTATTTTTGTGTATTTTAAAACGAGGCTCCTCATTAGCTTCTCATTTGCATACAGAAATTCCCCTTGTGACGTCAGAAGGGGAAGTCGCATGGCAGCTTGCATTGCCGATACGTGTAAATAAGGCAAATTTCTTGTGCAGTTTTCTCGTCTTTGACTATATTGTCACTTATGTACTTGTTCGTCGAGGAAGAATGGACCATAATGA